TGTTGTTTGATTTTGTTTCAGAGGTGGGTTAAATGAGAAGTTATGGTTAGACCATCAGAAGCAGCATGTTTTGTGTTGATTGCAACAGCACCAAACCCAGAATCTAAAAGTGTTTTATCTGTCCCTAACTCATGGCAGGTAACCATGGCAATCATAGCGCTTCCAATAGCTCCTGGAAAATGTTTGAAACATCTTAAGTGAGCTGTCCCATTAATAATGAAGAATATCAGTGTTTTGCCATCTGTTACATACTAACAGTGTATATAAAAGACCAGCAGTTGTGTGAAACAGTTTAAACTGCAAGTTAGGATGAACTTATCTTGCAATGAAAAACTGCAAAACAGCGTAACATAAAATATGGCACCTCTAGACTCTGCTTCTTAGTTTTATAGCTTGACATTGTCTTCTAATATGTGAGAGTCTACAAGATTTCCATTATCTATGTTACAATTTTTAGAGATTTGTAATTTGATATTAGCATTTTGCTGTGGGCAGGAGAAACTTGGCATATTGTCAGTCAAACAGAGTTTCATAAAATATTTTGGACACCATGAATTTCAGATTACAAGTATTTTCCCAGATGTGTTCTGTAACTGCTTCTGTAATCTGAAGCAGTTTTGCTTGTTAACTGAAATTTTGTGGACTCTTAATCAAAAGTGTGTGCTCTTGAACTGTGGGCTAGGAAATAACTTTCACAGTAGCGAGTGCAGAGACAGTGGTAGCTTTATTTTTCAGAAAATATGCCTAAAAGTTGAAGATGAATACTGGTAGGTTAAGTTTGCTCTGCATAAATTGGTGGTAAATGTGGCCAACATGCCCTAGAGATGTATATCAGAATCTGGGCATATTTTCCTATAACAGGGTCCCTCTCTATATGGTCCCTTTTCTTCTAACAGGGAAAGAGATTCTTAGTCAGATAGGGAGGTCAAATATAACTTGCAAATAAAAAGAAACGTTTACGAGGCAAAGAAAAGATCTTCACTTTGTTTCAGAACCCAACTGCTCAAATGACTGGCTGGATGATTCCAGACAAGTCCTTGCTAGAGACCAGACCTGCTGTTTATTCACCTTACCCACTCCATTTCTTCTATACATTTGTAGTTTCAGGATTTGCAATAATACCCATTTGTATTTTTGAGAGCAGGCCTCCTTTTTCAACCATGTAAACAGGATCTCTCTTCAGTGAAATCTTAAAAGTTTGTGTTTATCTAAGTAGTGTTACTTTATCTTTCTGTATATGTGTTTGTTTTTCCAAGAATGAAACTATATAGTCTAACCTTTAATAATGTGAAAATGTAAGGTTATATGTATTTGTAATTTAACAAAATTACTTTGTCCTCAAAGTACATTCAAATCAAGTGTACATAAATATGTATGTTACATCTGTATATTAAATCTTAGGGAAAGAGCTTTGCTGTTTTCTATCTGAGTAGATATGCAAGTGTAGACTTGTATTGACAGGTACAACCTCATACAATCACCAAAGACATGGACTAAAACTATGGAGCAGGTTTCACTGATACAAATACAAACCAAAATATTTCACTTTACTTTTTGCTTGTAAATAAAAATAGGAGTTTGTTTACGAGTTGGAATATAAAATACTAACTAGATTTCTGCTGTAGATAATTTGGCCCAATGAAAAGAGGGTAACAGTTACCTTTTTATTATTTGAAACTGAAAAAATTGGCCAGGCTTTGAGCCAATTGTGTTTTTCTGTTACCAGTTGTTCTGTTTACTATATTGTGACAAAAACTCTTTTTATTACTGCAACAGCTTGGCAGTAACAACTGCCTGGTAAAATCATTTCTCTGAGTACTCAACCTGCTGTTGCAAAATGCACACTTAATGATAAAGTGTAGACCCACAGCTGAATCATTTTGACCTTGGTTTACATTACTTCTGGTGAGGACAACGGGCCTTAGTACATAGTACAGAATTTCATGGAATATTGCTTGGTGTTTGTTTTAGAGATCAAATTTATGTCAGGCTAACAGAACATTTTTAACTGTTTTCAGGCTGAGTTTAATTTCTGAGATGTTCTGCCTTTCGCTTGAATAAATGGCAGAAAAATAGCTATATTATAAGCACTAATTTGATCAGCTGTAAACAGCAAAAAATGCATTTCCTAAGCATGTTCGGCCAGACTTAATTAGAAAACTCATTTGCGCCATTATTATCTATAGTCAGGGAGATCCTTTACAATAATATAAGGGATAGAAAGTACCTACTTTCAGCATTTTGTTGCCCTGTCTATAGCAAAGAGGTCCTGCCTGTGAAAGAAGATGTTTTTATTTAAATACATGTGCAGTACAAAAGTCCTACTAAAGGAATGCAGCTTCTCTTAAGACCAAGTTTTAACAGAGTTGAAATTACTTCACTAAAAATACTGTCGTTGAGGATTTGTGACCAAACAAACTTAAGAACTGAAAAAGTGCTGATGAATGTAGTACTTAAAAAATGGAGGTGTCCTTGTGGGCTTGAAAACAACATTGACAGAAGTGATGAAAGTAGAATAAAGGAAGTGCAGTGAAGGTGAGGCCATTCTTTGGAACGGCTCAAAGCTGAGGCTGGGTCTGCACTGGGAACTGGCTTGTAGAGCCAAGCAGTGCTTCTTCCTCTGTTATATGGTCTAGGACTGTATAATATAATATTATTATTTGTATGTAGGACATTATAATGTATGTGGGACCTGGGGAGAGGATTACTCCATGACTGAAATGGGCTCATGTGCTAAACATCACCACTGCTCAAGTGGTTAAAGCTTTCAGAACCAAAGCTGTTCCACAGACTTCTTCTTCCTGGACATCTCCTTTCTTGTCCTCTCCCTCACACAGCTGGTGGTAGCAAATTAGTGTCCCTACCAATGGGATGGTGTGATAATTTAAATCCTTTGAGAGAAAAGATGGGAATACAAGGTTATTCCTTGAGCCTCCTTGAAGAATCCAGTAGGAACAAAAATCTTAGTGAAAAGAAGAAAAATAGTAACACAGATGTTAATTAGTACTGAACAGCACTTTTATTTATTATTACCATTCCATTTTATGACAATATTATGTGTCACCATGTATTACAATTTTTGCTTTAACGTTCCCAACAGCTTATCTGGACTTCTGTTCCACACATTTGTCCAGACTCCCTCCGTGCAGGGGCACAGAACAAGCTGGTGCTCAGTTCTGTTGGAGCAGTCGCTGTCCTCGCTGGGGGAGGACGGGCCGAGGGACTCTGCAGAGTTGCTTTGCACAAACTTTCAACAGCACAGCTTTGGTTTTTTAGTAAAGCAGGAGTTTCCAAGAGTTTTCAGACTTCATTTCTTCATTTCGTCAGTAAATCAATTAACACTAGAATCAAATCACTTGCCACACGGTTTGTGTGTGGCGCGTGTAGGTTGCTGAAAAACAATGTGACTGATAAAAAAGAATTAGCAAAGCACATAATACATAGGGGGTTTTATTTTCACTCAGATCCTGATTATTAAATGTATTAATGTGAAACTGGAATGTTGAAACAGGACTGGACATCTGTGTAAGTTCATAGGTAGATAACAAAAGTAAAATTGGAATATTTTTGAATTTTGTGAACTTAAACAACATAAGCACTACCTAAGATTTTGAAGCCTGTGAGTGTGTATGTCTTCAGCAATTTCTTATATCTTATTCTATTATGTCCCTACTATTATGTCTAATTTCTTATTCTTAAAAATATTCCTGTTCTTGGTAACTTCTAATGAGAGACAAGAACAGAACAAAATGTCAGTGAATGTTCTAGGAACTCTACATCAGTCCTCCTGAATTCCAAGGAGCATCCCTGCTTTGATGATGTCAATCTGCTCTGTCTAAGGAAACAATGATCTCCAGATTTGCATCCCATGTATGGCAGCATGGTCTGAACCTTCTCCATACAATGAATTTATTCAGTGTTGTAAAATGTATTTAGGTGTTTTGTTGGTGGGTTATCTTTTTTTATTTATTTTCTTTTTAAGAAACAAGAATTTGTTTCAATGTCTTTTCTTATTGAGATAAATCATACAGGTTGGATAGGCACATCTTCTAGATAATAGTCACCTTTGGGAGCTGTAATTGTCTAATAATAGGTTTGACTTCATGCCTAAAGAACATACTGTGACATTTAAACCAGGTGATCAGAGCCTGCATTCCTGAGATAGAGCATAAACCACCCAGCACCTGATGTCACTGTAAACCTGTTACAGTTCTGTAAGTTAGTGTGAAATGTGTCACCTTTATATCCGAGCTCACTGTTGGGGTCCCTCAGAGGGGAAAAGTTTAAACTAGATATGAGTTACAGGGTGCATGACATTTTGGTTGTTAGACTTTTAAGTCCCTTAGCAAATGTGGAGTTCACAGAATTATTCTATTTATTTGGGCCAATGTAGTATAAAGTCCTGGGATCTAAAATGCTCTAGAAACTTCAGTATAACATTTTAATGAGAGTTATGATTGTAATATTTAAAAAAGCAATCTTATAAACTCCATCACAAAATATTAGTTTATTAACAATAATGAAAGTGCTGGAGAATTATTCATCCATTCTGGAGTTTGTGCACCCAACAACTGAAAAGTATGAGTTGTGAGGAAGTTGTGGGAGTAAGTCAGCATTTCCTCCTGCAGAGACTGGTAATTCTGGATCTCAAAAAATGGCATCAATTGTTGTGCCACTGCCTCTGTGCTGCTGCTCTGCACTGCCTGTTGAGATTGCAGTGGTTTATGGTCCATAGGAGACAGATTTTGCCAAGGAGAGGATTCAGCATCCTGTCAGTGGACGTTTTTGTGAAACAGGTTTTTATTAGGATTCATGATTTCCCTTTATTTCTGAGGACAGAGTCGAGGGTTTTTTGCATCTTGCCAACATACTTATATAGAGATAATAAAGAGACAACATCAAAAGATCGATTTTTATGCTCACTGGGACTGTTTAGTTACGTTATAGAATTGAAAAAGATGTTCTTTGTGCCATTTATGTTTTTTCCTCTCTATTTTTAGGATGCAAAGTTTGTAGAAGAGCGACGCAAGCAGCTACAAAATTACCTAAGGAACGTAATGAACAAAATTATTCAAACTGTGCCAGAATTCACAGCCAATCCCAAAAAAGAGACACTTATTCAGCTGATGCCCTTTTTTGTGTAAGTATCTGTCAAGTACTCAAGAAAATATTAAGCTTTTTTCATCACAAATAATTTAAAATATATTGCCAACATCTCCAAACTCTTTAAAACTGTGGGGTTTTTTAAATAGAAGACTTCTGTTCTAATTGTAAGTGCTTTTGTTATATTTAAAGGAATATATGGCATGCAGAGTATTTTTTTGTTTATTTAAATGCTGACTTTGAATAAAAATCCCAGTGTAAAGCTTTCAAAAATATCTAAGTGACTTCAAAACCTGCATCCACCTGCACTTTTCAAACACTAGGTGTCTTCATTTTCTTTTATTTGGTCTTTTTTTAGTGTTGTTTTGCTTCTGTTTGTATGGGATTTGTGTTGTTTTTAAATTTATTTTGGGGGCTGGGGTAGAGTACTATTAAGGTACTTACTGACCAAATTAAAAATTCAAGATATTGAACTCTTTCTATCTGAATTTTGCAATCTGCTGACTCATGTTCTGATTTTCATTAATGTTAAAGTTGACTATGTCCAGATATAGTTTAACACAGTCATTTGTTAAGAATCTCAGAAGAAACCCTTTGATATACAATCAGACAAGGGATACAATCTGGTAAAATCTTCCCTTTTTGCTTTAAATATCGTTCTTTATGTATTTGTAAATGATATTTAGAACTGTTTAGGAAATAATATTAATGAAAATTTGTTTTGTAAGTGGTGTTAACTTGTTAAATTTCATAATATTTTGGTTTAATAGTATTTTACTGTACACATCAGCTCTCTGTAAATACATACATAAGAACAGGAGGGATCTTTGGCAACAAGCATCACAATTTTTTGCATTTGGCAATTTCATAATTCTCAACACATTGCACGAAGTAATGCAGTAAAGTGGATTCAAGAATATTCTGTGATATGGCAAAGAGGTTCTGTTTGTACCTGTGAATATTTCCTTAGAACTTTTTCTCATATAGTAGATGTTTCAACCTTCTCTCTGGGAATACTAGTGGGATTCTGGAAAAATTAAACTGTTGAGCAAAATAACTATATACCTCATCTACAGCAGCAGGAAAAATGGCTTTTTAATGCATTTTTCTACTGAGAGATCAGACTCTTCTTCTGCAGCTAGAGCAGCAATATTAAATTAATATAAAGAACTTTTCTAAGATGTGCTCCTTCTATCATTGTCTGAAAGTATCATCATTTCTAGGCTATTATTTGAACTTTGTCCTTTATTTTCTGCCATGACCTGGCACTGTTGGTGATTTAGAAAAGACATCCAAAAGAAAATGCATTTCAGTTCCACTTCATATTGCCAACTTCTCCAGTATTGTCCTTCCTTAATGGATTTTGAGCTTCATCAACAGGAGATCTTGAACATGTTGGACTGTGAAGTGTATATTACACTAACCAGTTGTAACCTTTGTACCATACCTGCAATTCTTCTGTTAGTTTTAATAGTATTTTGTTTAATAGTATTTTACTATGAAACACTGTAAATACATATAGTAATACTGGTATATTTAATTTGTCCTTTGCAACACAAATGTATGTACAGTTGATTGGATCTTTATCAATGAAAGAGTAGTTACAAAACACTGAGATATTAGTCATAGGACTGTGCTGTAGGGAATAGAGATACGTCAGTCTGGGGCAAAAAATTAGTCTTAATATGCATGAAAAGTCTCTAGGGCATTAGATCTGTCTATTAGGAAGCAATGAAATATAAAATATAAAAATAATTATCTGGTCTTAAAGAGTTTCTTCTGACTGCAAAATTAAATGACCACAATTCAGTGTGAAAATGAAAAATCCCATAAAGGTTATGTCTGATTAGGCATCCTATAGATAGAAATTACAGGGTCAGTTTTATTAATCACTTTTAAGATCTGATTTTGGTCTTAGAATATGATTATGATGAACAGAACATAAGATGAATGTCTCTAAGACTGAATCCACTGATAATTTAATGCTAGAATGAATATTGCTGAACATTTTTGTTGTGAGGTTGTTCCTTTGGGGATTTCTCCCTTCCAAGTGCAGTGATTCCGTACAATCAGGCACAGATCTGATGAGGCAAAACATTTTAATTGATCTGTCTGAACTAGCCTGCCACTGTTATAAAGGATGAAATTGCTTTTGTTTTGAAACTCAGTTAACAGTTTGCAGTACAATAACATGAATCAGTTTGCTGGCATTTCTTTTCATTATTGTATCAAATGCTGGTGGTTAATCATGGAAATGTAATTTGTTTTGAATCCTAATGCTGTGAACTGTCATTAATGTGCTCTTTCTCTCCTCAATCTTTATTGCTTATAATCTCAATTTGTATATTTTTCAGTTTTAATACTTTATTAGCTCAATCACAGGATTGGTCAAAGATTTTCCTTTATAGTCCACTTTCATGTCTTAATGTGAAAAATAGATTCTGGCTCTGCTAATTTGTGTGTTTACATGCTGAATGACTAATTCTTTGTAATAATAAAACCGACATCACAGGATAAATTTTCCAGTCCATGTGGAGCAAAACCTAAATCAAGATTTGGCACTGCTGAATTAGATTGCTACATCTGCTAACTGGTGAAGGCCTGTCTGTTAATACTTACTTAAATTAACATTTATTTGCACTCGTGATTGGTACATTATGGATAAACAAAACTTGTTATAACAAGTACACTTGTGTTTTAATCACATTTTTATCAATATGAAAAATATCACACACCTTAGCTCTTTGTAAATACATACATAAGAACAAGAGGGATCTTTGGCAATGAGCATCACAATTCTTTGGACCATATAATTGAGTCTTCAACATAAATCATCACCATAGGTTATATGATTTCAAGTTGGTAAAAAGCTAAAAGCTGTAAACACGTGGGAAAAGATTCTCTCAAATGTTGCAATGGCCTATTTTTCTATCTCTGGTTTCTCTATCAATTGCCCTCATTTTTTAAAGATAAAGATTTCAGCCTGGCGTGGGAATTGGCTTAGTGGTCTTCAGAGGTGCCTTCTGACCTCAAAGAGTCTGTAAATCTATAATTCTCCAAAATCTTGACCTGCGGTCTTAACCTGAGTTGTGTTTTACATAAACCCTGCACAAAGAAGTGTTGGCCAAATATACAGCTGGTCACAGAATGTTCTATGTTAACAAAAAAAGTCTAAACAGTGGGAAACTACTAAAGTACATACTGTAATTTGTAGTTCTGCAGTGCTGATCAAATAAGAATAGTGCCACTTTACTGGTTGCACTGGCCATGCAAATGTTTGGATTAAAATATATGGAAGAATGGTATAAACACAGTTTTGTGAATATTTTCACAGATGACTGTGCTGAGTACTTCTTTATCTCATATACTAGGCCACAGCTCCAAGTTACAACAATTTCTAAATAACAATTACATGTTCTGCTGAGCTGCAGAGCTGGACATTTATTCTCTTGCGGTAGCTGCTCAAAAATAGGCTTTAAGAAAAGCAGAGAATCTGCTCAGTAAATCATCAGCAGGTTCTGCTGTCTGCAGGATGTGTTTGAACACCAAAGGAGTCATCAGTTCTCTGGGATGATTAGAGGACTGTAATTTTCTAAAAAATATGTTGTCTTCATTTCCCTGGGTGACATTACTGGCAGCATATTTGTTAGCAGAAGTTGTGTTCTTACGTGTTTTGTGTCAGTTGTCTTTGAGTCACCAAGTTAAATCGAAGTGAAAAAAAAAAAAATCACAATTTCTACCCTTTCTCATTTTGTAAAATACTCCTTCCCTCCTGGAAGGTAAAGTTATGAGAAATGTGATAGAGAGACAGAGGTGCCACCTGACAGGCAAACTTCAGTGCCAACCAATAAGTCATTAAAAAAAATGTTGTCCTGGGAATACTCCTCTAAGATTTATTTAGCACTGAGTAGTGTGTAAAGCCAAGTATCTGCTTTTGGTTTTGCAGACAACAAAGTTAAACTATTGTGGAAGAATAGATCATTGTTCTTAATGGGTTCAAGAACTTGGTATGGATTGGATTTGGGTTTTTTTCTTATCATCTCTATTTCAGTTGTACTTGTCTGTGTGTCATTGAGAACATTCAAATGTGTATATTAAAGGTATGAGAGGTAAAAAGAACATTAAATTCTATACAATACCATTGCTAGTATTATAATCAAGTATAAAGGAAATAAATCTTTTAGGAAAATTACTGTGAGGTGCCTGTGGATGTTGTATCTCCGAATCATTTTAAAGACATTGGCAATGGACCCTTTCAAAGTTAGTTTTGGGATATTTTAGAGGGATGAAACTATTTACTCAGACCTGAAGCTAACTACAGACTAGTGCATCAGATCTATTCCATCCAATAGCTTCATCTCTCCATGAGGGACAGGTCATATACAGCAGATGTGGCACTGTTTTAGTGTAAACAATGAACTGAAACCTCCTCACAGAAACAACTGTAGCGTATTATTGTAAATAAGATCTTTGAATACACGGACACGAATATATTTACATATGAAGCCAGAGGTGCTGGTGTTCTGCTGGTTTTGCACCTTTGGGTAAACAAGGAGATGAAAAGCAAACAAGCAATCCCTGAAATACTGTAAAACAGTGTTACTGCAAAGTAAGGAAGTTTTAAATACAATTTTAAGTATGTTAATTTCTCAAAACTGAGTTGGTGATGGCACTTCTTACAGTGCTCAGGGTACATGTCTGTGCCTTCTACTGGGATAAATGGCAGCATTCAGCTGATGAATCCCAAAGTGCTGTGGCCAGTGGCCAGATTTGTACGGGATTGCATCCTCTGAAGTGGCAGCTTGTGTTATCAACTTGGCACTGAATACCTCATAAAATTTACATCAACAAACTGGAAATAGCATTTGCTTATGTGTGGGACTTCTAATTAGTAAAGCACCTCCTAATGCCTGAAAGATGCTAATGAAACTAATTTATTGCTATGTTAATTGATTGATCTACTTATAAAACTATGTAGAGACATTACACAATATTTATCTTTCAATAGAACTGTGTTGCCAAGCACTGATGATTGTT